ATATTTTGTCTAGATCCCACAATAATAGCATGATGAGCCCATGTGATAGTAGCTCCAGATGTTAATAAAATTACAGTATTTAATAAAGGTATTCCCCAAGCATCTATAGTTTCTACACCTAAAGGAGGCCACACTGAACCAATATCAGGAGTAGGAGCTAAAGCTGAATGAAAAAAAGCCCAAAAAAAACTAAAAAAAAACATTACTTCACTTAAAATGAATAATAACATCCCATTTCTTAAACCTAATTGAACTTTTAAAGTATGTTGACCTTCATAAACGGCTTCTCTTACAACGTCTCTTAACCAAGTATACATTATAAATATAATAGTAATTAAACCTGTTATTACTAAAAAACCACTACCAGTATAACCATGAAACCACATTGCCATACCAAATGTAAAAAATAAACAACCAAGTGAAATCATAAAAGGCCAAGGACTTGGATCTACTAAATGGTATGGATGTTTATATAAATTTTGATTATTTATTGAATTTGACATAATATTATTAGAAATAAAAAAAATAAAATATTAAAAATTTTTATATTAATTATATGGAAATTTTATATAAAATATATACAAATTTCCATATGAGAAACTAATCTATAAATAGTTTCATGCATACAACTTAAAAATATTTTTGGATAAATACCCATAACTAATGTAATTACTATTAAAATAATATGAATTAAAAATTCTCTATAAGTTATATCAAAATAATTATTTAAAAAATTACTTTGAATATTACCATAACATATTCTATTATATAGTAATAATGAATAACATCCACCTAAAATCATGCTTGTTCCAGCTAAAGCAGCCACTATAGTATTTTCTTGAAAAATACCAACTAATATTAATAGTTCACCAACAAAACTACTTGTTCCAGGTAATGAAATATTTGCAAAAATATAAAATAAAAAAAACATCGAATATATAGGCATTGTATGTGCTAATCCACTATAGTATGCAACATATCTTGAATGATATCTATCATATAATATTCCAATACATAAAAATAAAGCACTAGAAACTATACTATGACTTAACATTTGTAATAAACTACCTTCAATTCCCTCAACTGTTAAAGAAAATAAACCAATAATAATCATGTTCATATGAGCAACAGAAGCATACGCAATAATTCTTTTTAAATCTGTCTGTCTAATAGCTGTTAATGAAGCATATATAACAGATATTAAACAAAAAATTAAAACCAAAGGTGAAAAAAAAACTGTTGCTTTTGGAAATAAAGGTAATGAAAAACGAATTAATCCATATGAACCTAATTTTAATAAAATACCAGCCAAAATAACAGAACCAGCTGTAGGAGCTTCAACATGAGCTTCAGGTAACCAAATATGAAAAGGTAACATAGGAACTTTTACAGCAAATGAAAAAAAAAAAGCTAACCAATATAATTTTTGATAAAAAATATTAAAATTATAATTATATAAATATAAATACATGGTAGTTCCTGTAATTAAATAAATATGTATAATGGCTATAAACATAAATAAAGATCCTGTTAATGTATAAATAAAAAAATAATATGATGCTTTTATTTTTCTTTCTCTTGATCCCCAAATACCTATAATTAAAAACATAGGTATTAAAACGCTCAAAAAAAAAAAATATAAAAAATAATTAAATCTAAAGTACTAAAAGTTATTAATAAAAAAAATTCTAAAAAAAAAAATAAAATACAATATTCTCTTACATTTTTTTTTATTACTTCATAACTTGCTAGAAAACAGATTGGTATTAAAAATGTTGTTGCTATTATAAAAAAAATAGAAATACCATCAATACCAAAACTAAAATACATATTATAATTGCTTAACCAATCATAATTAAAACTAAATTGAAATTCAGATGCTGATTTATCAAAATATATCCATAAAAATAGAGAAATGATAAAAATTAAAAAAGAATAAAAAACACTGAAATTCTTAATATCTTTTTCATCTTTAAAAAAAAAAAATAAAAAAAATATTCCAAATATAGGTAAAATAATCAAATAAAAAAGTAAATCTTGCATAAAAAATATAATTTCATTAATGAAATCTGGCGAATAATGGGGATTGAACCCATAACTTTCAAACTCACAATCTGATACTCTACCAATTGAGTTATATTCGCCTTTTATTTTTATTTTATAAAATTTTTTTTAAAATATTATAAAAATAAAATAAAGGTTTTTTTATTTGTAAATTTAAAGGGGTATCTTGTTTTACATTTATATATTTTAATTTAGAATTTGAAAAAATTAATTCTTTATTGTATAAATATATAAATTCAATTTTTTTAATTTTTTGTAAAATTAAATTAACATTTAAAAGATTATTCGAATAAATAATAATTAAAGAACTTTGACCTTTTAAATGTGTAAAAAAATATTTTACTAAACTTTGTTTTAAAATAAAAAAATTAAAATTTAATTTTTTTACTTTTTTTTTAAATGAATTTTTTCATTATAATTTAAATCATTATAACGAAAAAAATAAATATAATTATAATCTTTTTCTATTTGTTTTATTTTTTCTATTTTAAATTTATTTAAATATTTATTAATCATTAAAAATAAATTTTATCTATCTACCTCCCCAAAAACTATATCCTGTGTTCCTATAATAGTTACAACATCTGCGATCATATGTTCTTTACACATAAAATCTAACGCTTGTAAATGTGGAAATCCTGGTGATTTAATTTTACAACGATAAGGTTTATTTGTACCATCTGAAACTAAAAAAACACCAAATTCACCTTTTGGAGCTTCAATTACAGTATAAGTTTCACCACTATTTACTGTTATATTTTCAGAATAATATTTAAAATGGTGTATTAAAGATTCCATAGATTTTTTTATTTGTAATCTACTTGGATTTATTATTTTTTTATCATCTACTTTTACAGGTCCATTTGGTATATTATTTAATGTTTGTAATATTATATTAATTGATTGACGCATTTCTTCTATTCGAATTAAATATCTATCATAACAATCTCCATTTGTTCCAACGGGAATTGTAAAATCTAATTTATCATATATTTCATAGGGTTGTGTTTTTCTTAAATCCCAAGAAATTCCAGAACCTCTTAACATAACACCGCTAAAACCTAAATCTAAAGCATCGTTAGCGGTAACAATACCTATATCTACTAATCTTTGTTTCCAAATACGATTATTAGTTAACATTTCTTCAAATTCGTCTAATCTTGTAGGGAATTGTAAACAAAATAAATAAATATCATTTAATAAGCCTATAGGTAAATCTTGATTAACACCCCCAGGTCTAAAATAACTTGAATGCATACGTGCACCAGAAACTCGTTCATAAAATTCCATTAATTTTTCACGCTCCTCAAATCCCCAAAAAAAAGGTGTCATAGCTCCTACATCTAAAGCATGACATGATACAAATAACAAATGATTTAATAATCTTGTAATTTCAGAAAATAATACTCTAATATATTTAGCTCTTAAAGGTACGTTACAGTTTAATAATTTTTCAACTGCTAAAACATATGCATGTTCTTGACACATCATAGATACATAATCTAATCGATCAAAATAAGGTAATGCTTGCAAATAATTTTTATATTCAATTAATTTTTCAGTACCTCTATGTAATAAACCTATATGTGGATCTGCTTTTTGAACAACTTCCCCATTTAATTCTAAAATTAAACGTAACACTCCGTGTGCAGCTGGATGTTGTGGTCCAAAATTTATTGAAAAATTTTTTACTTTTTTAAATGATGACATTTTTTAATTTATATTTTTATTATATAAATTTCGAGAAAAAAAAAAAATATATATATATAAAATATATATCTAACTTTTATATTTTTTATCAAAATACTCAAAAAATTGTAAATATTTACAATTTTTTATTAATTATAATATTTTTTAATATTTAATATTATATCTTAATTTATTTATTTCTTTATATGTTTCTTTATTTTTTTCAATACTTTTACTTTTTTTATTAAAAGTATTTATTATTTCATTAACAATATTTTTTAAAAAATTTGTTTTTCTTTTTCGAGAAAAAAATAAAATATAATTTATAGAATTTTTAATTTGTTTTTCTTCATTCAAAAAAATTAAAAAATAACGATTTTTTTTTTTTTTTTTTTTTCTTTTACTTACTGGCACATTTATCAATTTTAATGTTGGTGATAAATTATCAATAGCTTTTATTAAAATAAAAATTGGTTTTTGTTTTGTTTTTTTTAATAAATTAATTAAAATATTATTATATAATTTTTCGGCAACAGTTTTTTTACCTTTTTTTAATAACATTTTAATTAAAATATTTTTTATAAAATTATTTTGATTTTTTTGTACCATATTTTGATCTTGAAGTTTTGCGTGATGTTACACCTAATAAATCATATTTACCTCTAATTATATGATATTTAACACCTGGTAAATCTTGAACGCGACCTCCTTTAATTAATACAATTGAATGTTCTTGTAAATTATGACCTATTCCTGGTATATAACAAATAACAGAATAATTATTTGTTAATTTAACTTTTGCTACTTTTCTTAAAGCTGAATTAGGTTTTTTTGGAGTTTTAATATATACTTTTATACAAACACCTTTTTTTTGAGGACACTTTTGAAGCGCAGGGCTTTTATTTTTTTTTTTTTTTTTTAAACGTTTTTGTTTTTGTAAAAATAATTGATTAATAGTTGACATAAATAATTAATAAAAATATTTAATAGGTAATAACGGATTTGAACCGCTAACATTTTCGGTGTAAACGAAATACTCTGCCAATTGAGCTAATTACCCTTTTATTTATATTTATCAAAATGGGCCTAAGTAGATTTGAACTACTGACTTTACACTTATCAGGCGTATACTCTAACCAACTGAGTTATAGGCCCTATATAAATTTTTAGAGTAAAAGGATTCGAACCTCTGATTTTCCATACCAAAAACGGATGCCTTACCAACTTGGCCATACTCTAAAATAAAATATGCTTAGAAAGATTTGAACTTCCATCTAATAGATCCGCAATCTACGGCTTTATCCTATTAAGCTATAAGCATATTAAATTTAATTTTTTTTTATTTTCATTTTTAATAAAATATTATGTGGTAAAATTTTTCTTAAAATAATTGAAAAATAAATTAAAGTATAAAAATTATTATTTAATACATAAAAATTTTTATTATAAAAATTATAACTAAAATGTTCCCTAGATTTTTTATTTACATGGGGTGATCGTAATACAGTATATATTGTTTTTTTTTTTTTTTTTTTTTTTGTTGTATATTTCCTTGTAATTTTATATTTTTATTTTTTAAAAATTGTTTGATTTTATATAAATATAAATATTTTATTTTCAAATTATTTATATTTTTTAAAGATTTAATTGTTATTTTTAATATATACATATGTTATTTTCAAATTTGTCTAGAGGTGGATTCGAACCACCGACATAAAGATTTTCAGTCTTTTACTCTAACCAACTGAGCTATCTAAACTTAATTATAAATTATATTAATAAATAAAAATAAAATTTATTTAAATTTATTAATATAATATTAGGATATATAAAAAAGAATAATAAAATTTGAGTATTAATTACTAAAATAATACTATTTAATTTCGAAATTTTATTTACAAATAATTTTTTAGATATTTTTTCAAAAAAAATAATTTTTATCATTCTTAAATAATAAAAAGAACTTACAATACTTATTAATACACTAAAAAAAACTAATCCGAAATATTTAGCTTTAATAGCTGATATAAACAAAAATAATTTTGAAAAAAAACCGGCTAAAGGAGGTATACCCGACATTGAGAAAATATTTAGCACAATTATAAAAGCTAATATTTTATTAAATGTAAAAATATTTGATAAATCAGTTAAGTATTTAATTGGTTTATAATTAATATATAAAGATAGATAAGAAGTCCATAAATTTATGCTCATTATTATATAAATAATAATATATAATAAAATATATGGAACACTATCAAATAAATTAGAAGTAAATCCAATTAAAATAAAACCTACGTGACTAATTGAACTATAAGCTAATAATCTTTTTATTTTTCTTTGTTGTAATGAAGATAACGAACCTATTAACATTGATAATAAAGCAACAATATAAAAAATAATTTCAAAAAAAAAAAGAAATATCAGCAAATATATCAAATATAAATCTGATTAATAAGCCTATAAAAGCTATTTTTGGAACAATAGCAAAAAAAGCTGTAACATTATTTGGTGCACCTTCATATACATCCGGTAACCAAAAATGAAAAGGAGCTGCACCTATTTTAAAAAAAATACCTGCTAAAATAAATAAAAATCCAGTTATTAAACCAATTATTAAATTTATATTATTAACATAATAAATATTAGATAAAATTAAAAAAATATTACCAAAATTTAAAGTACCAAATACACCGTAAATAATTGAAATACCAAATAAAATAAAACTAGAAGCAATTGACCCTAAAATAAAATATTTTAACGCAGCTTCAATTGATAAAGGAGATTTTTTTTTTAAAGCGGTTAAAATATAAAAAGATAAACTTTGTAACTCAATAGCTAAGTACAATGTTATAAAATTAAATGAAGAAACTAATAACATTAATCCTAATAAAGAAATTAGTATTAAAATATTTATTTCAAAAGAAAAAATTTTTTGTTTGATAATATAATCAGTTTGTATTATCAAACAAAAAATAGTACATAAACTAAAATAAATTTAATAAATTGTGTTAAATTATCCACATAAAGTGTACCATTCATTAATGTATTTGAAGTATTATGTATATTAAAAATTAATAATAAAGTAATTAATAATAAAAAAATTGTTAAATTATTTACTATTTTTGTTACTAATATTTTTTTATTATTTATATTTTTATAAAAAGTACCAAATAATAAAAAAATTAAAATTATTAAAGTTATAAAAAATTCAGGAATTAGAAATAAAAAATTATTATAAAAAATTTCTTGTAAAATCATGTATGTATTATTATTATTTATATTCTATATTATATTATTATTAAAATATATAGAATTTTTCTATATAAAATAATTTTTTTTTAAAAATTAATCTTAATTATTCTATAATATAAATTAAAATTATGTCGATATTTATTCCCTAAATATTATATTGGAAATACCTATTTTTAAATAGGGTCCATAAATTTAATTAAAATAATTAATTTTTTTTTAAATATTCATCAACTAATTTTAAATTTAATTCAAAAGGATATTTAATTTCATTAAATAAAGGTTTTCTTAAAAAAATACAAATATTTAATTTATTATTAATTTCAATATAATTTATTTTATTTTTTCTTATTTTTTTTAATAAAATAATACTATTTTTTTTAATTTTTTTTTCAATATAATAATATTTTTTTGAAATTTTAAAATTATTTAATGAAATTATATCACCCCTATTTAAAATAAAATTAGATGAATTAATTATTTTATTATTAACTTTAATTTTTCCATGATTTATTATTTGTTTTGCTTCAAAAATAGTTTTAGCTATTTTTGATCTATAAACAACCATATCTAATCTACTTTCTAATAAAATTATAAATTTTTGAATAATATTATTATTATTTTTTTTAGATTTTAATTCTTTAAATTGATTTTTTAATTGATATTCTGGAATACATCCATAAAAATTTTTAAATTGTTGTTTTGCAAATAATCTTTCTTTATATAATTTTTTTGGAGGAGGTTTTTTAGTTTTTGATAATTTTTTTAAAATTTTTTTATATTCAAAAGGTTTTTTTAATGCTTTTGCAAGATTTTTAAAAATTTTTAATTTTCTTATTAAATTTGTTTTATTTTTTTCACTCCAAAATATATTTTTTTTAAATAAAATCCATTTTTTTTTGTTTAATTTATCTATATTCAAATTTGCATGAATATGTTTATTATTTTGAAAACAAATTTTGTTACGAGGTCTTAATTTATTCATTAATTATTATTATTAAGTGTTTTTTTTATCAAATAAATTAAAAAAAATAATGATTTTAAATTTTTAGTATTTGAGAAAATAGGATAATTTATATTATTTATGTTAGAATTTGTATTAATTAAAGCTATTATAGGTATTTTTTTATGATTAAATTCAGTAAATAAATAATGTTCTTTATTATGTGATTTTAAAATAATAACTAATTTAATTTGTTTTTTTTTAAAGAAATTAGATATTGTTTTATTAGTTAATAAACCATTAATCCATTTTTTATTATATAATAATATATTTGGATTATTATTAATAAATTGTTTTTTATTTAATAAAAATTTAATATCAAATGAATTTCCTATTATTAATATATTTTTTTTTTTTTTTAAATAATATTTTATCAAAAATAACGATTTTTGTATATAAAAAATAGTTGATTTTAAATTTATAATAGAAAAATTATGTCGAATACCATAAATAAAATTAAAATTTTTTTTTTTAATTTTATTTATAGATTCACCATAAAAATTTTTAGATTTAAATAAAGAATTTAGTAAAAATTCTTTTTGTATTTTTTTTAATTTTAGTTTTTTATTAATCATTTTTTTATTTTTTACTTTTTTTTCCTTCTTTTTGAATAATTACTTCATTTTTTAATAATAAACCTTTACCTTTATAAGGCTCAGGTTTTTTAAAACTTTTTATATGATGAACATATTTTGTTAAAAAAATCCAATCATTACTACTAAAAATTATTTTATTTGTTTGATTTATTTATTACTTTAATATTTTCAGGTATAATTATATTTATATTATGACTATATCCTAATTTTAAAATTAATATATTTTTTTCAATAAAAGTTTTAAAACCTAAACCTTTTAAAAATAAGTTTAATTTAAATCCTTGTAATACTCCTTTTATTTTTAATTTTATTAAAGAATTATACAAATTTAAAAAACTTTTTTTTTTTTGTTTTAAATAATTATTATTAAAATTTAATAAAATATTTTTATTTTTTATAAATAAATATATAGATTTCATAATATTTATATCAACAATTCCCAAAGGACCTTTAATTTTTAAATTATTATTTTTTAATATTAAATTTATATTTTTTGGTATTTTAATTTTTTTATGAACATTAAAAATATTTAAAATACCTAAAGAACTTTTTAAAAATACTGATTGTTTTTTTTTTATTTTTTTTAATATTTTTACCATTTTTATTTAATTTTTATTAATAAATATTACATATTAATTCACCACCTATGTTAAATTTTTTTGCTTCCAAATCAGTAATAATACCATATGAACTTGATAAAAGAAATAAACCTTTTTTATTTATTTTAAATAAATCTTTATTTTTAACATATATACGTTTACTTGGCTTTGAAATTCTTTTAATTTGACAAATTACTGATTGATTATTTTTATATTTAAAATAAATATTTATAATATTTTGATTTTTTTTATCAAAAGTATAACTTTTAATAATACCTTCTCGAAGAAATATATTTAAAATTTTAATAATTTGTTTAGATTTATGTTGAGTTGTTTTATTTTTTTTTGCTAAATAACCATTTTTTATTTTTGAAAAAAAATTTGAAAGAGTATCTGTAATTATCATTATTTTTATCTATTAAATTTAGCTATACCCGGTAAAAAACCTGATGATGCTAATTTACGTAATTGTAATCTAGAAATTTTAAAAAATCTATAAATACTTTTAGATCTACCTGTTAATAAACAAATATTTTTTATTCGGGTTAACGAGGAATTTCTTGTAAAATTAAACCATTTTTGTTCAATTTTCCATCTAATATTTTTTTTTAAATTAAAATTATTTGATATTGTTTTAATAACTAATCTTTGTTTTTCTAAATTTTTAAATAATAATCTTTGTTTTATATTTTTTTTTTTATTTTTTTTTGCATATTAAATTAATATTATTTATTTATTATTATATTTTTTGGAGATAATCGGACTCGAACCGATAACAGTATACTTGCAAAACATATATTCTACCAATTGAATTATATCCCCTAATAATTATAAATGTATTGGGACTTGAACCCAAGACCATCGGATTAAA